ACTGAGTGATGAAGGCAAATCAATGACTGAAATAGCTGAACTAATGAATTGCTCAAAGAAAAAAGTGTTTTCCGCTGTTCATTACATCGATAAAAAGGAGAACCGAGGTAGAAAGCGAGCCACAACCAAAAGGTTTGACGACATTTTGGCTCGAACAGTAAAAAAGGACCCATTCCTTACAGCCAAGGAACTCAAAAATACCTTAGGGGCAGCAGTTACAGCTCGGACAATTAGAAACAGGTTAATTGAACAAGATCTGAGAGCATGTTCAGCCAGGAAGGTTCCATCTCTGAGCCAAAAAAATATGAAAAATAGACTGATTTTTGCAAAACGACACCAGAACCGCCAAAACTGGAACAATGTTCTCTGGTCCGATGAAACTAAAATAAATATGTGTGGATCAGATGGGAAAATATATGTGAGACACCCAAAGAACACTGTTTTCGATCCTAAGCATACGATTAAGACTGTTAAGCATGGTGGAGGGAATATAATGCTATGGGGATGCTTTTCATCTTCTGGAGTTGGTCCTATATTTTGGATTAAGGAAAGGATGTTTGCTGAGGACTACCGTAGGATACTTGAGAGCACAATGCTTCCATATGCCGATGAGGAAATGCCGCTTAAATGGGAGTTCATGCAAGACAATGACCCAAAGCATAAAGCAAAAATTTTACAAAAATGGTTCCAGGACCAAAAAATATCTGTAATGGACTGGCCAGCTCAATCGCCGGATATAAATCCGATTGAGCATTTATGGGGACACCTTAAAAGACGAATTGGAAACTTCAAAGCGCCAAATAAGGAAGCATTGTGGCAGAAAGTTCAAAGCGAGTGGTACGCCATTTCTCCTTCAACTTGTGCCAATCTTGTACACTCTATGCCTCGCCGATGCCTTGCAGTATTGCAATGTAAAGGGAATACTACTAAATATTAGATGATGAGCCATTATGGCTTAAAAAAATGATGTTTTTGAAGTTTCAACGTTTTGTTTCTATTATTTTTTCCAAGGAAAAAACTAAAAATTAATTCTTTAAGTCCACACGTGATTTATAAAAATCTTTTTGTTCCTTATTATAAAACATACATAAGTATTTGTTAAAAAAAAATATATATGAGATATACATATCTACTTTCTTTTTATGAAATAAAAAAAAATACTGACTTCGTCAGGTATAGCAACATCTACTTCCTTAGGTGTATTAGCATCAACAATAGCAGGCACATTATTACACTCTTTTGTTTCTTCACAAACATCTAAGGATATTATTTTAGATGAGCTGGCAACATTTGTTGATTCCTCAGTCTCGTAAATAGCTGAAAATAATCACGCTTAGCACGCAATTTAGCAGCCTTTGTTTGTAGGGACATTTTAAAATCAAAGCAAATAAACAAACAAAGCAATATTTTGTAAACACAAATTTTATACACAGCCGCAGTGACCACAAACAATTCGCGAAACGAAGTGACGCTTGGGCGGAAAATAAAGGGAGAACCGAAGAATGTTCAGAAATAAAGGGATAACGGCAAATTGTCGCGACCTCCTTTTACGGGTGATCGTTGTTTTTTTAAATATAGAACAATCTGTTCAGTGAACCTTTAAATAACGGGGGCGTTCGCCGAAAAACTTAAGTTCACTGAAGCTATCGGATTAAGTATTTTATTTAATTTTAATTTGTTTAAAAAAATATTTTATTCCTTTTTTTTAACATTATTTAATTTGTTTAAATTGAAATCTAAGGTATAGTTAAAATAAATAAATACTTGAACATATAATTATATAAAAAATATATCAATCTTATTATTATTATTTTAATCATATATTAATATATAAAATAAAGGTACCTTATTATTATTTTAAACATTATCTATAATATAAACAATTGGTTCCTTAAGAAAGTCTTTACTGTTCTATTTTGGTCGAGCACTGTACCTGCTGAGATGCAGACTGGACGACAAGAAAATAGACAACAAATTACAAAAACAAAATACATGTTTTTGAAATTCCTTTCTATCTTCTTTTCAACATCTTGAAGTCATTTAGAAGACAATTTTTCTTCCCAATAATTTTGTCTTTGTAAAATGTGTATTATCGTCTTCCTATCGTCCGGAAGTGTCTCAGAAGTTACTTCTTCGCGATCGCGATCCTTTTTGTTTTTGTAAAATGTGTTTTATCGCCCTTCTATCGCGCAGAAGTGACTCAGAAGTGACTTCAGTTTTTGTAAAATGTGTACTATCGTCTATCTATCGTCTTTCTATCGCGCAGAAGTTACTAAGAAGTGACTTCTGGACGACAGGCGATAGAAATATCGCCTTTTTGCTTGCAAGGGGATTTGATTGTGATGCATGCACATCCCCAAAGAGCGCGCTTAGAGGGAGAAGCGTGATGGAATATGATGAGAGCGCCTCATCGTTCAGCGTTTGACGAATGTCGCGCAAAACAGACAACGACAGCACCAGCTGACGTTGTTGTTTGTTTGACGGTGATGAGCGCACAACTCCGAATAGCGCGAATTATGGTGGCGGTATCCACACCTAGCTTATTTGCAACATATTCGCACACAGAATCAGATCTTACGTGCGCTCTACCAATATGAAGGAATTTATTGCTCGGCACAACTTCAAGTAGTTCACAACTAGGAGCTTGACCAACTATTGCCCTTTTGTTCCTGTGATTCTTTGCATGGTTCCTGGCGGCAGAAGAAACTGGTGCGTGGGGTATCAGGTCTGCATGGTTGGCTTGACGACCAATTGAAGAAGCTGGAGCCAATGGTTTCACCACTTTTTTACGCTGACTGACATTGGTAGAATTGGGAAAAGCCTTTAGAAACTTTGAGTTTAAATCCATGTATAGTCTCTTTAGGTCATGAAGTTCTTCCATTACTTCATCGATTTTGGAGTATGAATTATTACTCACAACACAGCGATCATTTGTTAATAATCTAATAGCATCCTCCGGGAGATCAACACATGCTGTGTGAAAAGTACACTCATAAAATTATTTTTCTAGATACTAGAAAAATCGCCCTAAACATGAAATCGCCCTAACATTAAGAAAAATATCCACAGAAAATATGTGTTTGGGTTAATTTTTCTAAAATGCCAGTTATTTCTATAATTTAGGGTAAATTTTTCAGAGTATGTGCTTTTAATATTTTCTCATATGTAGGGCAAATAGCCTTATTTCGTAGAACAAAAAATCATCCAAAATCGCTTTGGAAACTAGAAAATCGCCCTTGAAATTCGAAAATCGGTGGCTTTAGCGGTCTAACGCGTTGAACTTTTAAACTCATCTAATCGGCGTGAGTTCGAGCCCACGAAGAGTCAACATTTATTTTTATATTTTGTTCAAGTTTTTAGAATTGATTTCTTAAACAATTTTATGTGCAAAGGCAAAAAAATTTTAGAACACGTCAAAATAACTAATAAAAAAACTAGTATATTACCTTAAAATAACAGATTTTTAATGTAATTAGTCTAATTGGGTAAAATAAAAAATAATTTCTTGTAACTAGTGTGAATATTTCTTAGAACTATATTGAGAATTTGTTCTTAGAACAAATAGAGATATGAACCCTTTTGCGCTTCGCCTAGCGCGATGTGTCTGTGGTGCAGCGGTAGTGTTCTCGACAGCGGTCGTGAGTTCGATTCTCGCAGCGTCCACGATGAGTTTTCTCAAAAAGGAAGTTGTTTGATATCTATGTTTTTACACTTCCCTGATCCTGTTTAATGGCTACTTTCAGTTCTTATGATTCTAATTAGGAGGTTTAGCAACATACAATGAGCGGACGAATAATAACCTTGTCTTCTCCTTACCCTCTCAACTTATAGTAAAACAAGAAAGGAAGTTAACTTCGGCAAGCCGAAGTTAATATACCCTTGATTTATATTTATTAAATTTAAAAACACAAGAAATGATTTTCCCAATAGTATAAGATAATATGTCAGAAAACACCGAAGATATAATTTGTTTCATATTATTTTCTTACCAATTTTCCGATCGTTCCTATGGCAGCTATATGATATAGTCGTCCGATTTCGATAAAATTTAATTCAAAATTCAAAACTAATTACAAAATGTTATTTCCAAGCTTAGGAGGTTATATGCTAAAAAAAAAAAACACCAAAAATATATATTTTTTTAATTTTTTTTTCCGATTATTCCTATGGGAACTATAAGATATAGTTGTCCGATCCGGCTGGTTCTGACTTATATACTACCTGCAAAAGATATAAGACTTTTGGGAAAGTTTCAGCCCGATAGCTTTAAAACTGAGAGACTAGTTTGCGTAGAAACGGACGGACAGACGGACATGGCTAGATCGACTCGTCTAGTCATGCTGATCAAGAATATATATACTTTATGGGGTCGGAAACGTCTCATTCACTGCGTTGCAAACTTCTGACTGAAATCAATATACCCCCTGCAAGGGTATAAAAAAGGGCACTAAGTCAAATATTCCGAAAAAAAGGACCGCAGATAATGTTTGCCGATAAACCAGTAAACATGTCCAAGCACAATTTTTTATAAAAATTTGTTTTAATTTTTAGGGCACTTCGCCTTGTTTTTAAGGCGCTTTACCATAATTTCAAGAAATAGCGCCGTTGATGCCTAAAATTTTTTTTCATATGTTAAGGGTATTTACCATTTAAGGGTATTTATCAAGCGGCCGATTACAGTAGATTTTCATTTCTTCGTGTATAGATAGTAGTCGCCTTCGCACACCCTCCTGGTGCGCTTCGTCACTACGTGGACTGTCGTACACAGTGATATTTTCTGTAATGCAACGATAGTGATGTCAAAACACCTTTTGCAAACCATTGTGAAAATAAAAAACCCGAATTATTTGAAAAATGCAAAAAAATATATGGTAATAACATTAGAATAGGGGCTTATTAGCTTTTATTTTTTGAAAATTAATAATAAAATAGCCCTTTAAAAGAGTTTTATATGTTGGTTATTGTCTAATGTCTAATTCGTATTCTATTTCTCTTTGCAGGAACTCACCACAGAAAGAAATTTTTGTAGATTTCATGGGTGCACAAATTAAGACATTGTCATTTTTGGCGTATATTGTCCGAATATTTCAGGTAATTCGTGTTATTATTTTTAAAAACGTTTTAAAAAAGATATAAAAACGTTTCAATGGAATGAGTCCTGAATGTCATACTAGTCGTTCGTTCTTTTCTTTTATTCTTCTCTACACACACAAAAACTTGGGTCAAATTGACTCATATAATAATTAAATGGGTTGGCCCCGTTGGATTGGCGATTTGACCAACGAAATAGTTTTTTTTTACGAAATACTTTAATATAAGGGCTATGTTGCCGCCGAAATCAATAATTCCTGTGAAAGGTTATTTTTCTCTACAACTAGCCGAATAAAAGAACCGTTACTCTCAGAGCTTTACGAAACAGTTAAATATAAATATACCATTAAACATTAAATCTTGGGTATTAGTTTGGGCGCTGTTAAAAGCGTATTCTCAGTCAGGCAACTTAACAGGTTACTATAAACAATAGTTATGTATCTATAAGAATTGGTGGAATGGGGACAACTTATCGATTGTTGTTAAATACTTTTATAGTTTTCCAACCATAAACTGCAATTCAATCTGTAGGTTCGAAGCTGTCCGATTTTGATGAAGCGTTTTTAGCCTTTTATCCTTTTCTAGCTCTTTAATCGCATATCTAAAGGATTTTTCAAAAAGTTTCAAAAGAAATGTTTTTCAAATATGAAAAAAATATACCAGGACCGTAACGAAAAAAACAAGGAAGAACGCTATTGTCGAGTACCTCGACTATCAGATACCCGTTACTCAGCTAAAGGGACCAAAAGGAAATGGAGGTATGCCAGCAGCAATGCAAGATTGAAATGCGCCACATACCCGCGTGCAAACGTTTTTTGGATCAATCGATAGGTATTGACGAGACTAATACATTTCAGTTAAATTTTTTTATCTACCATGAAAATTATGGGCGCCAACTTGCGCTGCGCAAGAAGCTCAGGAATGTACATACCAAATCCCAACTTTCAAGCTTTTGTAGTGTCCGAGATCTCAGCGTTCATCCGGACGGACAGACAGACGGACAATCGGATATGGCTAGATTGACTCGGCTATTGATCCTGATGAAGAATATATGTACTTTATGTGGTCGGAAATGATTTCTTCTACCTGTTATATACTTTTCGAAAATTTAGTATACCCTTTTACTCTACAAGTAACGGGTGTAATAAACATAATGGTCTAGAACTCAGCACATATTCAGAACATTTTCTTTGTTTTAAAAAATGCCTTTTTAATTTGTCCGTTAAATAAATGTTTTAAAATAAACAGCAAGTATTATTAGTGTTGTAACAGATTATTCTCATATCCGCTTTTTCTGGGATCATATTGTCGTGCTGAAGAATCCTTGCATGACCAAATGAGTTGGTTTTCCATTGTCCCAGTGTTCCTCAGTTGAACAGCTGCCGATTTCGTCATCTCCATGCCTGCTAAGAAAAGACTAGGATGATTCAAAATCGCCTTCAGCGCTTTATTTTATGGCAATTCGGAGAGTTACACTTATACACAAAGAAGCCTTTCGCTGTGTAAATGTATATACTAACAGCTTAATTAACTATTTTATATAACATTTTTTAAAAATTAATGTAATACTATTAATATTGTGCGCCTAATTATAAAACTAAGTAACCGGAAAAGTTGAGGCATTGCTCATGCGGCTTACGTTTTAGAATAAATTCATGTTTAATGATTTGTAATCTTGATGAAGTGCTTGTCACGAAATCTTCAGAGTATTGACATTTTTTAAAGTTGTAAGATCTTTTTCTGGCAACCTACACAATTTAAGGGTCATAAGATCGCAGAACGTTTGTGGATGCTCATTGATGAATGTGATAGCGACCTCGTCTGCGTAAGCCACTACCCTACAACAACTGCGATGTTCCTCAGAAGGGGAGAGAATCACCTTCTTGAGGGATGCCTTCACTTACAAGTCTAATCTGAAATGTGCTTCCCAGCGGGGATGTCACCATTCAGATAATCAGCAAAATATGGAATATAAATATATAATATATACATATATACTGACATATCCATAGCACCACATACTCCAATTTACATGTCCACACACCCACACATACATGCACACATTATGCAGTCACCCTCGAGACACCCTCTAAGAAATAAGAACCCAAATTTAATTGTCAACAACCCAATGGAAAATAACCAAACTATAAGCAAGCCAGAGGAAATTTTCATGAAACAAAAAACCACAGTTTATAGACTAAACAATTAGAACGAGCCGCTGTTCAGACTATCGACACGTTTCCACAAATCAGGATACTCAGATTTCGGGACTCAAGTCTGGAGTCCAAAGTCCAAATTGAGAGAATCACCCAATAGCAATAAGTCCCACTCACAAAAAGCTCTAAAGCTCAAAACCGAGTTATGATCGTAAATTAAGTAGGAGTTAGAGAGTGAGTTCAGTTTGAGATTTGTCAACAGCAAGTCGGTGTTCTTCCAAAATATTGTAACCAGTGTAAAAGTAAATTAAATAAAGTTTTTTTTTATAACACACTTATGGTGAAGACATTTAAATATATATATATATATTATATATAATATATAAATATATAAATACATAAATATATAATATATATATATATATATATATGTATATATGTATATGGGAAATATGGTAAAAGATTTCTATGTCCAGGACCAATGCATTCTCCTAAACGATAAGTGATTTCTCGATGTTACTTACCACTGAGCGTAATGGCGACTCGGCTGACTTACCTTTTGTGTGTATGCATGTTGTGCCTCTGAAATGTGTGTTGTCCCTTGCCGTAGTGTGAGAAGCTTTTCCTGTTTTGGAAATGAAGACCACTTTCGCCTCTCGCCATGAGGTTGGTAAATCTCCCACTGCCAATATGTTGCGAAAGATTTGTCCCAGCCAGATAATGGCTAGTTTTCCTGCCTGCTAAATATTTGCAGGTTTTATTTCATCTGATCCTGCTGATTTATACGGGTTTCAACTATTTGTAACCCGGCATTGCTTTTTGGAGGATGACCCATTTTTAGAAGAAAAAAAAGTGCCTAGACGTAGGTTCAGAAACTTTTCACTAAAATGAACAGATTTGAATTTAAAATAAATTTAAAGAGAAACTAACGTCTGTCGTTGGTATTTGGGCAGCCCCATTGAGAGTGATTGGCATTGGCGTTGCAGCCTATTAACAAACCTGTCTTAAGTTTTTTACATTCTTTTGCCAGCCCTCTGCCCAGCGCGTGCTTCTCAAAGGCCATGTAGGCCGATAGCAGCCTAATGGCGCCAGGCTGTAGCTACAGACTTACCGCTGAATTATCTCAGCTACTTTTATTACGAAGCATAAGTAAACTAAGATGCCGTTTGGCCAATATGCAGTTTCGGATTTTACCGTTTTTGGGTTCAAGCATAAACTTGTATTTATTTGTTCCTAGTCCAGCAGGCAGTTTTACGTCATTGGAGTCGCCCTTATACACTATAATATGTATTGCACTGAAGCCATAGATGAGCACCACAATTGCCTGAATTATGTCACTGGGGATGTCGCACCACTGTAGTGCAATGATTTTTGTTCCTTCGTAGACCTCTCCTACAGGGCTGATGCCTGTTTATATAAGTCAGGCGTGGTAAGTGTGTATTGCGGGCCGTTTAAGTTTTCAATTGTCTGATATGTGCAATCTTTTAAGTCATCTTTTTTCGTTGTTCTGGTTAGTTCTGAAATGGGTGGCAGTGTTACTGATAGCAATCTCCAAATTTGGTAATGTTTTTTGTATAGAAAACGGCGTTGATTATGTTTATTAAAAATTTAAAGACTTCTGTCCACAGTAAGCCCAAGCCTGCAGCAGAGTTTATAACTGGAGTCCCGTCCAGAGTAAGGTGATAACTGTTGAACCTGTTTAATACAAAGGTAGCACGCTGAGACATGGTAGGACTAGCGGCAATATTCCATCTCGCCACTAAAGTTTCGAACTCGTTGAACATGTCCTGGACCATACCGCATCTCGTCGCAGAGCAATCTTCGCAAGAAACGCAGTTTTCCAAAGTATCAGCAAATTTGTTAGCTACCTCACTATCTTTATTTGCCGAAGTACCGTCCGATCGAAGCAGGGAAAACTTCTGAAGACGCTGTTGCTTACATTGGCTAATATTTTTCGGACAGATAAAGTCCTTGCTAAATATATTTGGTTTTCTCAAACGTCAATGTGAGTGCTAATTCTGAAAAGGACTCAGGCTACCTGCTTAGTTTTTTTTGGCTCGATAAAATTACAAAAATTCTGGAATGTGAGCGAGTGTTGAAATGCATTTTGTTTATTAGCATAAAATCAATTAATAAGTGATAATGATTGATAAAACTGAACATTTTCGTTTAGCCAAAACCAAAAGTAAGAACGTCACTTATAAAATTGATCGAAACTTCTAAAAATAAGTTCTAATAATAAAATTATAAAACAAGATAAGATGCAAACTTTTACTGTGGCAAACAAGTAAGGTGAATTTAAACTTCGCGGGCTTATCATTCCAAGCTAGTTCTTTTTTCCACGAATTGGCAGGACTGCTAATGACATCAGGGCTAAATTTCAGGCCAATGTAATTGTCAGTAATATATTTTCGCTTGTGTTTACCAAACGATCAAGACAGCATTTTCCGTTTTTTCGACCGAGAGCGGTAAATTTCTTGCAAATAAGTCGTCGCGTTGATGTGTGTGAAACAATGCTTTCTGACTATCAGCTCAAATCCAAGATTACGGGAGATTACCCTGCAAGCAAAAGGGCGATATTTCTATCGCCTGTCGTCCAGGAGTCACTTCTTAGTAACTTCTGCGCGATAGAAAGACGATAGTACACATTTTACAAAAACAAAATATACATGTGTCGCGTAGAAGTAACTTCTAAGTCACTTCTGGACGATAGAAAGACGATAGTACACATTTTACAAAAACAAAAAGGGTCGCGATCGCGAAGAAGTAACTTCTGAGACACTTCTACGCGATAAAACGGCGATAGAACACATTTTACAAAAACAAAATTTACATATAACGCGTAGAAGTCACTTCTAAGTCACTTCTGGACGATAGAAAGGCGATAGTACACATTTTACAAAAACAAAAAGGGTCGGGATCGCGAAGAAGTAACTTCGGAGACACTTTTGCGTGACAGAAAGACGATAGTACACATTTTACAAAAACAAAATTAATGGAAAAAAAACAAGCCATAAAAAGAGGTCGTGGTAATTTTCCGTTACCCCTTTTTTTCTGAAAATTTTTTGGTCTTCCCTTTGACCCACGCTATTATTTTTCGCCCGAGCGACATTTCGTTGCGCGATTTGTCTGTGTACAGTGCGGTTTTGTATCAATTTTGTGCGTTTTAAAAATATTGCTTTGTTTTTTTCTAAATGTTATTAATTGCTTATCATATTTAAATATCCCCCTTAACAAAGGGTGCAAAATTAAGTGCTTATCGTGAGCTGTACGATTATTTAAAGCTATTTACGGACAAGCTAGCTATGGACATTACTTGGCGTGTAACTGCGGATCCAACGATTCTCAACATATTTCATTGTAAAAGGTAATGTCTTCTAGTTTATTTTTACTTTTACTGAACAGAAAAAAATTTTTGTTTCTGTTTCCTTTAGAAATGGTTATTAATAAATTTCTTATGTCGACGGAGCTGGACCTAAATAACATTGTTCCGTGTATACAAGCGGACAAAGCCCTTATACAAATAATAAATGCAAAATATTGAAAGTATAAAAAAATATGTTTTTATTCAAGTTTTTCCAATTGGGAAAGACTCTTCTAGATGTCTTCTACAAGCAAATGTAAAGTCACCTCGGAGTAACTTCCAGAAGTGACTACGGTGACACTTTTAGAAGTTACGTCGGCGATATCGCAATCGGATCGCGGAAGTGACTCCCGTCGGGAAGAAATGTGCCACTTCGGCGGCACTTCTATGAGTCACTTCGGCGACACTTCCAGAAGTGACTTCGGCGACACTTCCAGAAGTAACGCAGAAGTGACTTCGAGAAGTGTCGCCGAAGTGGCACATTTCTTCCCGACGGGAGTCACTTCCGCGATACGAATACGATATCGCGGACGATCGTTTTTATCTTCTCGAAGTCACTTAATAGTGCCTTCCGCGATAGAAAATGCTTGCAGGGTAGACTTGAATTTATCCTTACGACCCTAAAACAACATACCAATCAAGCGAATATCGTGCTAACGGCGAGGTCAGACAAAAAAGAGCACTTTAAAGTGTAACGAACTTATTTTTTTTAGATTTGCTCGTTCGTCCTACCAAATTTATAGAAAACGTGACCGCCCAGTTAACAGTAATAACAATTTAGAATAAAGGTTTATTCACGGCTCTGGGTTAAAAAGTTTACTTACCTTGTGATGGTGCTTCTTGCGTGGCCTCCGCTGCTCCGGATACTTTTGCTGTCACTTGTAAGAGAAATCGAAGAAGAATGTTGGGGCTTAGGGAAGCGTCACCGTGCTCAGACTAGGGTGAACAGGCGTTGAGCTTTCAAAACAACCGCCCTGCCAGCCGCAGCCGCCTGTCCCTTGCTCTGTCCCGGTCGGTCCCTCCAGACTCTCACTCAGTTGCCTTTGAAGCTCCTGGCAACCGTCCGGCTTACGCCAGCAGTCCGTGCAAATCGCCTCTGTACCAAACTCAAGGTAGCCAATGGCTGCGCTTTCCAGACAACCATCGGGCTCTTCAACCTATCGACTCCACGTCAGGATCGGCGGCATACGCCTCCGATTTTGGACTCAAGGTAGGTAACGGCTGCGCTTTCTAGACAACCGTTGGGCGCTATAGCCAATCAACTCCACGCCAGGATCGACAGGATACGTTGGAGATCCGCCTGCTCAACCGTCCGACGTAGCTAAAGCAGTCCTCGCAACAGTGGACCGAGTCTCCTTCAACTTAGCCGTGTATTTGCACCTAAGGACCTGAGCTACCTGTGTCACAATTCGGAGATTTATGCTGTCCCGAACGTCTCGACGTAGCGATCTTGCTTCTTGCTGACAGTCACGACTGTTTTCTTGACTTTGACTTGCTTGATGTTGTTCACTCGGGTCCCGCTTATATAGGTCTCCTGGTACCTTTAATCTTCGACTTCTTCCTGCTCTGTGCGCACGGCACCACACCAGTGTACAAGTCCGCAGTTTTACGACCTTTCGCACTCTGCGCACCGCACCACACTAGAGTCCAAAGTTCGTCGATGTACCGTTGTTCCTTCGCTCACGGCACGTCTGCGCTATCTCGTCTCTCGCCGCCTCGCTCCTCATACTGCTGTTTTCCTCTCTCCGCATCTTCTCTCCAAACTCTCTTTTCCCGCAATGCCGTTACTACGCGAATTCGCTGCGAATTCAGCAACTGGCGGGCCTCCGTACAGTTGTTACTCACTTTATTTGTGCAGAGGAATTTATCTCCTCACAAAAGTCGTTCCAATATCAAGGTCATGATGATAGTTTTTTTTCGATTTTCGTTTACTATGAATTCCATCCACCCGGAAAAACGGCAAGTAAGAAATATTCTGGGTATTCCCTAAACTGTTGAATTGCTGAATTGTTGAATTTTGATCAGCTGTTAATCAGCTGTTCCATACAAAGTCAACTGTCTGAAATTTCAGCAATTCAACAGCCTCGGGGCTGTTGAAAATTTTGTTGAATTGCTGAAAACCAGAGTTGTCGCTGTTCTCGACTAAAAGTTAGAGGAACTCTGGTCACTTGTAAACATGGAGGAATTGTAAGCGTATAAAATATGCAATAAAAGGATATCTGATAGGATGCTGCCTGTTAGCAGTTCTAATAGTTAAGTTTTTTGGCTTATTCTCGGCATTTTCCTTAATTTTAAACATAATCTTTGGTAAGCACAGCCTGACATTTTGACAATCTGACAAACAACAGACAACAAATTGAAAATTCAACAGGGAACTTTAATACCCCCTTCCCATACAGTCCATTCGTTAGAAACGGTTGGGATTTTTGACAAATGTGAAACTCCGATTCCCACAGGGCACATCCACCATCTACCATCCGACAACAGCTGTCAGTTCAGCTGTGACTAATAAAAACACAAGCAAAAATTGTTAAAGTGGATTTTGCCAGACCAAAATGAACAATTTACCAATTATTTTGGCTGCTGTACAACAGCAAAATCTTAAGTTGAATCAGCTTTTATTGGCAGCCAATTCAGAGGAGTGGAATGACGACGAATTGGATCTGTACGAAAGCATTTTTTCTGCAAAAGAGCAAATGCCACGAAGGGTGTGGATGCTGGTACGTGCTCTTAAAATGTATTAAAAATACGATTTAAGAGTGCGAATTATATTAAACAGAAGCGATACGGGACATTTTGGAGAAGGACATACCGGAAAACAAGGACGAGTTCTTCAAAGAGAGCTTTCGTATGGAGAAGAGGACCTTTTCGTTTTTGGTGGACCGACTTGGTGTTTTGCGGCAGTCGATCACCACAACTACAAAGGCTGGTACTCAATAGTATTATTCGCTCTCGTGGATTACAGGTAAACTGCGTTCTTCTAAGAGCTCAACAATGTTCTAAACGCATTGTATTTTAAATTTACTACAGATACAGATTTACCTATGTAAACATCGGCTCTGCTGGGCGCTGCAACTACTCCACTATATTTCAAAAGTCGAGCCTGGCAAGGAAAATTGTGTCTTCTTCGTTTCTTCACGAAATAACAAGGGAAATTTGTGGCGTTCAAGTTCCGGTGCTGCTTATTGGGGACTCTGCCTTTAGATTTTCCCAAACGCTGATGAAGCCGTACCCATTTTCCACAACTGCATCCGAAGAACAGCGAAATTTTAACTATAATCTGTCTAAAGCTAGGCGAGTGGTAGAAAATGCATTTGGCCATTTAAAGGCAAGATTTCGGTTTATTGGGAAAGGTCTTGACAGCCACTACAAGAATAATAATGCAGTTATTCTAGCCTGCTGCATTTTGCACAACATTTTAAATGAGCACAACAGCGCTATAAATGAAACTTGGCAACAGGCTGCAAATGACCTAGGCGAACAACCAAATCGGACTAATATGTCTGCAGATTTTAGCCAACCTGCAGAAAAAATAAGAGCAGCTATTTCCCAATATTGTCTAAATGGTAACAAATAAAGTTCATAAAATATAAATCTGTTTGTTTTTTTATTTAATTATAATATCACATTTCATTTTGGTCTATTTATTATAAATTATAAATTTATTAGGAATTAGTTGATTTTCTTAAAAGCTCCAACAAATCAGGTTGGAATTTTGCCTGGCTGTCTGCCATTCTCGACAATATTTCTGTCTGCCCCCTTTGCTCCTCCAGTCTTTCTCGAGCAATCTCTACAAGCTCCGACTTATGGTCCTGACTGCCGCTGCAGGTAGAGGCTTCCCTGTCATCTGGGCCGACATCCAAGAGCTCCACAAAGTATTCCCTAGTATCTGCAATAAATAGATTTTTTAAAATAATTTTAAACCGAAAATATAAGTGTGGGGACATACTCTCGTTCTCCAAGGTGTTCTGCTCCATATTGTGGATGCGGTATGCGCCTAAAAACGAGTGGACCAACTCATAATGCTGCCACGAGGAAGGAGCGCCACCGCTTGGCCCCATTTTATTTTTTTCCTGCCTGCAAGGAAAAGTATAGTTGAGTGGATTTCCAATATGTTGTTGCGCGCATATAAGTTACCTGTACTTTTTGGTCAGGTTCTCTATTTTCGTTCGGACGTCCTTGCAGGACACATCAAACCCAGCTTCCATTAGGGTCTGGGCCATCTCCATGTATATATGGACATTTTTTCTGGCTCCGCGCAACTCCTCGATGTTCTCCTGCCAAATGTCGATGAGCAGGACCTCCATCTGCTTTGCCACCGGCAGTTCGCGTATTATTGACTGTAAAATTAAAAGCAATGAATTATTACAAATATAAAGAGCATTTATGTTCATACCTATTGCTTTGTCGCCTTCCATTTTCAAAAGTTTCCCGTCATCATTGTTTACGTTTTTGTAGTGAATGTTCCACTTTCCACTTTCAAGAAGAAGAGTTTAGGGTTTCCATCCAAAATTATCGCCTAACTGTCGCATAAAGTAGTCAGTTAAAATTGGATGGGGAACTAACTAACTGGGAAATTTTCGGAACGGCAAAACCTTATGGACCATCCGTTCAACGGATGGTAGATGGTGGATGGATCTCTGTGGGAAGACCCTATAAGGGTCGTTCCCTTAATTGCTGAAATTTTCTGTTGAATTTTCAACAATTCAGCAATTCAGCAGGGAATACCCTGATTATTTGAGCGCTATGCGTAGTTTGCATGAATCATTTCGTCTAAAAACTCCAGAATTTTAGGCCAACAACCCTTGGTTTTTGCATCCCGATAATGCACCGTCTCACACTGCACTTGTTTATTGTGACCATTTCGTCAATTCAATCATATCGTTCAGCAACCACCGCTTGACTTGACTCCGTGTGACTTCTGGTTATTCCCAAAACTCAAGAAACCCCTGCTTAGAACGCGTTTCGAATCGAGTCAGGAGATAGCTATACCAGAAAGGGACTATTGGGCATGTTTCGAAGATTGGAAAAAAAATTGGGTTTATTTTACCGGGAGCGAGTTACTTTGAAGGGTATGAAATTGATTAGGAATAAATTAAATTTTGTTATTATTTTATTTTATTTACACACAGATTTACCTTACTATTGTGAGCTTCAACTCGGAAAACTTTGAAAACGGGGAATTTTTATCAATTCAGTAACTGTAAGGCATCAAAGATGAGATTGAACAGATTTTTTTGCAGACAAATAGTCCAGGTGGAATATAAGAACAGGTTAGAAAAATAGATGAAAATTGCAAAGAAACAAACAAATTCAATGTTGTTAGGATTAAGAGAGTATATTCTCTCCGACTTTAGACTAGAGGTAACGGCAATCAGCCGTTTTAAAATTAAAATTGTTGAACAGAACTTTTGAATCAGATATCTCCGGTTTCAGCGAAGTGTCAGTAAAAGCTAGAATGTTTTTATTAAAAGCAACTTTTCAGTTTTTTGGCGCAGGTACTAACGTGGAAGGCCTATTATTAGCTCTCCGTCTGTTTGGAACAAATTTTTAATGGAATAAATTTTTAATTCATCATTAAACCAAAAACTTTTGGAATTTAGTAAATGAAATACTTCAAGAGGAGCAGATATTTAAAATGAAGATATCCTATTTCTTCTACTGTAATGCTTTGCCATGGAAACTCTGCAGACGTGGTTTCAGGGGAAACACAATTAACTGATTCCTATATGGAACAATCGAGAGTCTCTTTCCCTACCAGCAATTAGGAAACTGGAATATTGTCGGGCACAAATAATGGAATGGTCTTTTTTAGGCGCCGTGCATAGGTGTTTATTGGTACACTTGAAAGTAAGAACTAGTTAAGCCTAACATAACTTAAGCGCTTCAGAGCGAAGCGAAGACTTAGGGGAGAGATGGAGAGGGAGAGCGGACGACAGCGCCAGACATTTTTCGAACAACTTAGACAGACACGATTATAAACTTATTGGTCTGAAGGATGACGGAATTGTGTGGTCTTTTTCGGGCTTCGGTGTCATTATGATAATAGATTTTTTCATTTTCTTTCTTGAAGTTTGGAAGTTCTATTATCACTTTTGAAGTTATTAGGTCACCGCCTGGGGCCTTTTTCGGTTTCAGTTCCCCGATGACTTTCGCGTTCTCCTTTGGCTGAAACAATGTTAATAGGGCAATAGTTTCAGATTCGATTTGTGGCCAAGTGGACCAGTGGCAGGATTCGATTGCAAGACGCTTCGGAGATGTGAAGCAAATGTTTCGGCTCTATCTTCGTCGACCCAGCTACATGATGAATTTCTTATCGGAGTGTTTCAATTGCAGAGCTCTGATTTGGGTGAGCGCTCCACAGAGTATGTTTTTCATTGTACCTCAGTTCTGAGTCTTGCTTCAAGGATCGGTTTAGTGTGCGAGTGGCTTCCTTAAGACGTTGTTTTGATGGTGGACAAGCCGTTCAATTTGCTGATTAGTTTTGAAGTAGCTTATTTGCACGTCCCTCCCTTGTGGTGTTGAGAGTACTTCTTCAAGAGCATCGGTAGAGCAGTCAATGTCCGCTTTGATGTTAAACAGCGGGGTTAGTTCAATGTGGGAACTTACTTACTTTTTATATTTTAACCAGTTGGTTAAAGCCTGTGGAGGTTATCTTTAGTTTCTGGGTTTTGAAGAAGAGTTATAAGTTCTGGCGAGTGTCTGAGGAGAGGTCCGAAAGCGCGTTGGCGCTTAATATATTGCGTGGAATGTTTTTTGTCACCGTAAAATCAATAAAGTCTGGGACTTTTCTGGGGTCTGCCTGCCAGTATGTGGGGCTGCAAGGGGAATCATAGTCTAACTTGTTGCTCGGTTTTATGATTGCATTATATAATTGACATTCTTTGGGAGTCACGAGGCGAGATCCCCAGTGCGTGTGCTTGGAATTATAGTTCCCTGCAGCTATGAAGCGATCTTCAAGTAGTTGTACAAATCCATGAACCCATGAGTCCATGAAAGCGAGGCGCGCAGTAGACAGCGGCAGCCATTACCTGACTGCACTTTGATAGAAGTGGCCTGCAAGTAATAAGTGGCAAACCTTTGGTGAAAGTGGTGTTTGATGCGTTCCCTGATTAAGGGGGGCACTCTATGAAATGGGTTCAAAAATTCGATTTTTATACCCGTTACTCGTAGAGTAAAAGGGTATACAAGATTCGTCGGAAAGTATGTAACAGGCAGAAGGAAGCGTTTCCGACCCCACAAAGTATATATATTCTTGATCAGGATCACTAGCCGAGTCGATCTAGCCATGTCCGTCTGTCCGTCTGTCTGTCCGTCCGGATGAACGCTGAGATCTCGGAAACTATGGGAGCTTGGCTATTGAGATTTGGCGTGCAGATTCCTGAGCTTCTTACGCAGCGCAAGTTTGTTTCAGCACAGTGCCACGCCCACTCTAACGCCCACAAACCGCCCAAAACTGTGGCTCCTACAGTTTTGATGCTAGAATAAAAATTTTAACTGAAATGTATTGTTCTCATCAATACCTATCGATTGACCCAAAAAAAAGTTTGCCACGCCCACTTTAACGCCCACAAACCGCGAAAACCTGTGACGCCCACACTTTTCATGCTAGATAAAAAATTTTAACTGAAATGTATTGGTCTCGTTGATACCTATCGATTGATCCAAAAAGAAATTTGCCACGCCCACTCTAACTCCCACAAACCGCGAAAACCTGTGACGCCCAAAATTGTTATGCTAGATAAAAAATTTTAACTGAAATGTATTGGTCTCGACAATACCTATCGATTGGTCCAAAAAAAAAATTTGCCACGCCCACTCTAACGCCCATAACGCTTAAATCTGTATACCGCCGGTAGGTGGCGCATTTTAATCTCGCTTTGCTGCTTGCATATCTCCATTTAGCTGAGTAACGGGTATCTGATAGACGAGGTACTCGACTATAGCGTTCTTCCTTGTTTTTAACATATAACCTCCTAAGCTTGGAAATGACATTTTTTAATTAGTTTTGAATTTCGAATTAAATTTTATCGAAATCGGACGACTATATCATATAGCTGCCATAGGATCGATCGGAAAATTGGTGGAAAAAAATATAAAACAAATTATAGCTTCGGTGTTTTTTAACATATAACCTCCTACGCTTGGTAATAACATTTTTTAATTAGTTCTGAATTTCGAATTTAATTTTATCAAAATCGGACGACTATATCATATAGCTGCCATAGGAACGATCGGAAAATTGGTGGGAAAATAATATGAAACAAATTATAGCTTCGGTGTTTTTTAAAATATAACCTCCTACGCTTGTAAATAACATTTTTTAATAAGGTCTGAATTTCTAATTTAATTTTATCAGAATCGGACAACTATATCATATAGCTGTATATAATTATAGCTTCGGTTTTTTTATATATATTATCTTACATTATTGGGAATATCAATTTTTGTATTTTTAAATTTAATAATTATAGCTGCAAGGGTATACAAACTGCTCACTGCTTTACGCATATTTCGTTTTGTTTTGACCTTTCCCGAATTCTGACAAAGAA